GGGGCATGAGAGAAGCCTCCCACAAGGATGATAAAACATCAAAACATCTAGGTGTCCCCTGGGCAACGTCCTTGCAGACAGCCAATTCTCTCACACCAGAAGTGACTTGTAGTTTCTCAAGTCACTCCTGGCACAACCAAAAAAACCAAAAAAAAAACCCCAGTGAATGCAGAAAGCTGACTGTATTCAGAGCTTTTTCTGAACAACAGAGGTTGGCATATTTTGCACAACCAAAGGCATATGGTACTAATGTTGTGTTTTAGTCTAAACAGCATACACTTTGACCACAAAGCACTACACTGCCAGAATATTTAAAGCCATTACACTGTTCATGGCAAAACACTACTTTACTAAACACAGCTGTTTCCATGCTTTAGATTTCCTCTGCAAGGATATCTTTGGGCACACATCTATGACACAACTCCTAGATACTGCAAAATACATCCTATGGTGGAACCTGCAATAATTATTATTTTGCTGAGCCAGGAACTTGAAACTTGTTTGTGTTCATTGGCAACAACTGGTCCTCCCCTGCAAATACTGTAGGGACTGGCAGCCAGTGGCTCTGGGAACACTATCCTATGACATCTATACTGTTTACATGGGGAACTGGTGAGGCATCACCAACTTTCACATCTTCCTATGGGTGTGTACGCTAAACCACTTTCACGCAATCATAGTTGGCACTTTTCAGGGAACTGTGATAATGGCCAAAAGGGACATTCCTTGATATTTCTGAACCACACATTTCATTAAGCATATCTGGAGACTAGGATGAGGCGCAATGGCTTCAAGCTACAAGAAAGGAGATTCCATCTGAACATTAGGAAGAACTTCCTGATTGTGAGAGGTGTTCAGCAGTGGAATCCTCTGCCCGAGTGTGGTGGAGGCTCCTTCTTTGGAGGCTTTTAAACAGAGGCTGGATGGCCATCTTTTGGGGGTGCTTTAAATGCGATGTTCCTGCTTCTTGACAGGGGGTTGGACTGGATGGCCCATGAGGTCCCTTCCAACTCTATGATTCTATATCACAGTTGCCCCTCCACATTTGCAGTTTTGATTTTTGCAGGTTTTATTATTCTCCTGTGCACAAATTAGTAAATTCGTCATTCATGGTTTTTCACTTTTCTAAGGGCTAAAGGTAAAATTAAAAGTTTCCCTTTGACAATAAATCTAATCATGTCCGACTATGGGGGTGGTGCTCATCTCCATTTCTAAGCCAAAGAGCAGGTGTTGTCCATGGACGCCTCCAAGGTCATCCGGCCAGCATGACTGCATGGAGCATCGTTACCTTACCGCCAGAGCGGTACCTATTGCTCTACCCACATCTGCATGTTTTGAACTGCTAGGTTGACGGAAGCAGGTTAACAGCAGGAGCTCACCCCGCTCCCCGGATTCAAACTGCCAGCAAGTTCAGCAACTCAGCAGTTTAAACCATTGTGCCACGAGGGTTGCCCTAATAAGGGTTGCATGCCCCTAAACCCAGCAAATGTGATGGGTTGACAGTACCAATTTCCCCTTTTAAGATTAAAAAAATACCAACCAGGTGAGATGAGCATGACTCCAAGAAGCATGGAGAAGGAGTCAAGACTTTTCCCAACATGATTACAGCAAAAAAAAAAAAAAATCTTGCTCCTGCCTACTAGATCCCAGTTCCCATGAATGGGAAATTTCCTTCCAGTGACAGTAACAGGTCTACGGTGGATGATTTTCATTGAAACTATAATGGTGTGAGGCTACCTACTTTTAATAAAACACACCATTTTGAGTATATTATGAACTCAGTAACATGTAACTTGACCCTGAGCCACCATACAGCCATCAGACCAGAACTCACACCCAAATCTGTACCACTTTGTGGACATCCTTGATCTGTATGCTTCTGGGCATTGCATTTTTCTTCTGCTCTGCCCAAGAGGACCAGCTGGCAAAAGTGTCTTGGAGAAGGGAAAACCTGGTTGGTTGTCATGTCTGACTCGCAATAAGAAGCCCTAGCCCAGTGCTAGAGGTCAAGGAAGGGATAAGAGTTGAAGAGACAGAAAACCAGCAAGACCGTGAAATAGCAAGAAAAAAATAAGACAGAAAATAGGAAGTGATCAGTTTAAAATAAATGGTTATGCAAGGAGGGGGGTTGAAAAGGCTGGAAATCAAAACCAAAAGCAGATTGACACCAGTTTAGCTAGCATGGTTCAATGCTATGAGAAACTTGGGATTCTAGTTTTACAAGGTCTTCAGTACTCCCTGCCAAAGAGTGCTGTTTCTGGGTTGCTGTAAGTTTTTTCGGGCTGTATGGCCATGTTCCAGATGCACTCTCTCCTGACATTTCACAAGCATTTATGGCACCATCATCAGAGGTTGTGAGGTCTGTTGGAAACTAGGAAAATGGGGTTTATATAGCTGTGGAATAATGTCCAGGGTGGGAGAAAGAACTCTTGTCTGTTGGAGATAGGTGTGAATGTTTCAACTGGCCACCTTGATTAGCATTTAATAGCCTAGCAGTTTTCAAGGTGTGGCTTCTTACTGCCTGGGGGAATCCTTTGTTGAGAGGTGATTGGCTGTCCCTGATTGTTTTTTTGTCTGGAGCTCCCCTGTCTTTATTTACTGTTATGATTTTAAAAGTTTTTTAATATTGATAGCCAGATTTTGTTTATTTTCATGGTTTCTTCCTTTCTGTTGAAATTATCCACATACTTGTGGATTCAATGGATTCTCTGTGTAGTCTAACATGGTAGTTGTTAGACTGGTTCAACAAATGCTAATCTATGAATGCAGCTTTTTTCCGAATGAAGCACAGAGTGTTTGAAGACCATAGACTGTCTACAGACGTCACATGCAACTCCCGGAACGATTCCATCAGCGCTGCCTTTGGAAAATCCTGCAAATCTCTTGGGAAGATAAGCGGACAAACGTCAGCATGCTGGAAGAAGCAAAGATCATCAGCACTGAAGCGATGGTCCTCCACCATCAACTCCGCTGGACCGGCCATGTTGCCCAGATGCCCGACCACCGTTTCCCAAAGCTGTTGCTCTACTCCGAACTCAAGAACAGAATGGAGGAGGACAGGAAGAGATTTAAAGATGGGCTCAAAGCCAACCTCAAAAACTGTAGCATAGACACTGAGAACTGGGAAGCCCTGGCCATTTAGAGCTCCAGTGGAGGTCAGCTGTGACCAGCAATGCTATATTATTTGGAGAGGCACAAATGGAGGGCGAAAGAGAGAAATGTGCCAAGAGGAAGGCACGTCAAGCCAACCCCGATCGGGACTGCCTTTGATCTGGAAACCAATGCCCTCACTGTGAGAACATGCAGATCAAGAATAGGACTCCACAGTCACTTATGGACCCACCGCCAGGACACCGATCTTGGAAGGCAATCCTACTTGGACAACGAGGGATCACCTAAATAAGTAAGTAAGCTAATCAAGATGGCTAACTGAAACATTCTCCTTGGACGATGACTTAAACCAGCGACTGTTGACAGTTTGATGGTTTTTATACTGTTTTATTGCTATATTGTTTTTTAAATTGTATATTTATGTTTTTGGTTGTGGGCACCATGGGGTGCCGGTTTGTTAGCCGCCTTGAGTCCCTCTGCAGAGGTTGAGATAGGACGGGATATAAATGTCTGAAATAAATAAACACTCACACCTACCTCCAACAGACAAGAGTTCTTTCTCCCACCTTGGACATTCCACAGATATATAAACCCCTTTTTCCGAGTTTCCAACAGACCTCACAACCTCTGAGGATGCCTGCCATAGAATGTTTCTGCAATATAGCCATACAGCCCAAAAAACTTACAGCAACCCAGTGATTCCGGCCACGAAAGCCTTCGAGAACACAGTGCTGGGTCTCTCCAAATCACAACTCCCACAATTCTACAGGAGTGAGCCATGACAACTCAAGTGGTGTCGAACTGCATTCATTCTACAGAGTGGATGCACTCTGAAAGGAAGAAAAAATGGATCCTCACTGCTCGCAATGCAGCTAATGTAACAGGTATGCTTTGGGTGAGCTGGGCTCCCTTATCCCAATGGCTCCCTCCACCCCTAATCTATTTCAAGCATCCAGCTGTGCACAAAAGGAGCTCAGAAGTCTGTGCTTGCTACTCCTTCTCCTCCTTTAGTGCTCTGAACTGTAATCTAGGCAAACCCCCACCAACCACCACAGTCTGTTAGGTAAATGTACCATAATGTGTTTGATAGCTCAGCTTAACGCAGAGATGGCAGTCGGCTACACCTCTAAGTCAAAGGAGGGACACCTGTCACCCATGTGTTGGCTCCCAAATTCCTTTCTAAATGACACTTCAGAGGAACATCTATTTCCTCATTCAGACGATAGCTGTCTTACATCTTTGTATGCAAGGAAATTCTTCATCAGGCAAAGGTACGTTGGGTTATTTATCCCACGCAGGGGTTTATCGCTGTGATCTTGCACAATCTTGTGTCCAGACTGGAGCAAAGCAGCACTTTCTGTGTTCATTTTCATTCTTTTTTTCCTCTTTTCTTTTTTTTTAATGGATTCTGTCTAGGATGATGCTGTCCTGGATTACCACGGCCAGTGGGGTAAGGTCGATACAGCATCCAAATCTTTGATTGTTTCTTCTTTTTTATATAAAAAAACAAAAACACTGCAAGTCGATCGTGACGGTTTGCCATCTTGGAATCATCCCGTCATGGAGAGATGCCAACTTCTAAGCCCTGTTTGGCAAACATCCTGTCTCGTCCCAAGAGATCGATCAGCACTGCTGCCATCTTGAATCGCATCTTACAGGAAATGCCATTTATAGGTCCCTCTCAGGCAGATGTTACCTACGAGAGCAATCCAGCAGGTTGCGATACTGACCACAGGTACCACGTACGATTATTTCCCCAGTCCCTCCAAGGAGATAAACCGCCCCTCTTTTGCCCATCCCCACCCCACCAACCCTGTGCCCTCATATTGGGTCCCCTTCACCGTTTCCAGGCTTGCGTCTTGTTTACTAAGAAGTGCCCCTCGGGATCATGGGATAGACCATCTTTTTAGATCACACCGGGCAGCTTCCGACTTATTTTCCCCAGGGAGCACGGCCACCTTGAATCTTGAGGAGTGCGGTACTGGATTCCCTCCCCATCCCCACCCCAGCATGGTGATCCCTTGGCAGTGAAAAGAGTCCTTTCCCTGCCCGGCTGAGTTCAGGCATGTTTTCCTTCCCTGGAGCCAGGAGGAGCATGAAAGAGAGGGCTTGGGAGAGGGTTTAGATAGAGGCATGGCACAACAGAATCAGTTGGAGGTGTCGGAGTGGACGCTGCCAGGACCTTCTGTTGGAGAAGTCACGGAGGACGGAGTGGCCGCTTCTTGCCAACCACCATTAGCCTAATGTGGGGAGAAAAAGAAAAACCAATGAGAATTTATTTTCTTGGAAGATGTTATGTTGGGACTGCATATTCTTGTAAGGTTTAAGCTACTGAACCTTTTCCCTTCTTAATTTTATAATAATAATAATAATAATAATAATAATAATAATAATAATAATAATAATAATAATACAGCTGGACAACATCAAACATGAACATGTGAAAACTGTGGTCAGCAAAGAATACATTCAAAGGGTCAGAAAAATTCTCAAAACCAAGCTCAATGGAGGCAATAACATCAAGGCCATAAACACCTGGGCCATACCTGTCATAAGATACACTGCTGGCACCATAAACTGGATGCAGAGAGAACTGGACAATTTGGACAGAAAAACAAGAAAACCCATTCATAATTCATTACATCCTTGTAGTGATGTTGACCAGCTCTATCTGCCCAGAAAGTTTGAGGGCAGAGGACTCTTACAAGTAAAACAAGCAGCTGATGAAGAAAAACATGCCCTGGCAGAATATGTCAAGGAAAGCCAAAAACCTGCTTTCAATAATTGGAAACTTCCCAAAGCACAGCAGACAAAGAACCAGTACAAGAAAACTGCACTACAAACCAGAGCTGACAGCTGACACAGCAAAGCATTGCATGGACAGTTCCTTGACAAAATTGAAGGAAAAGTTGATAAGGAGAAGACCTGATTATGGTTCACGAATGGAACACTGAAGAATGAGACAGAAGGCCTGATTCTTGCTGCCCAGGAGCAAGCCATCAGAACCAATGCCATTAAGGCAAGGATCGAAAAATCAGCTGATGGCCCAATATGCAGGCTATGCAAGGAAGCTGAGGAAACCATGGATCATCTCCTCAGCTGCTGCAAGAAAATCGCACAGACGGACTACAGAGGCACAACTTTACTACTGGCAGGTAGTACTTGTGACATAAGTTCAAATGATTCACTGGAACTTATGTCACAAGTACCACCTGCCAGTAGTAAAGAACTAGTGGGATCATAAACCTGCAAAGGTCGTGGAAAATGAACATGCAAAAATACTGTGGGACTTTCGAATCCAGACTGACAAAGTTTTGGAACACAATACACCAGACATCACGATTGTGGAAAAGAAAAAAGTCTGGATTATTGATGTCGCCATTCTAGGTGACAGTCACATTGATGAAAAACAACAGGAAAAACTCAGCCGTTATCAGGACCTCAAAATCGAACTGCAAAGGCTCTGGCATAAACCAGTACTGGTGGTCCCAGTGGTCATCGGCACACTGGGTGCTGTGCCAAAAGATCTCAGCTGGCATTTGGAAACAATAAACATCGACAAAATCATGGTCTGTCAACTTCAAAAGGCCACTTTCTTGGATCTATGTGCATCATTTGAAAATACATCACACCGTTCTAGACACTTGGTTTTGTGATTTTGTGATATGAAATCCAGCATATGGATCTCCTTTACTGTGACAGATTGTGTTTTGTGTCAGTAAAATAATAATAATACTTCATTTATATTCTGCCCTATCTCCCCAAAGGGACTCAGGGTGGATTCCAATCACAAAAAAGACAAACATTCAATGCTTGAACATAACAACTAATAGATACATAATAACAAAAATTAAATACCACAGCTCATAAAACAAAGTATAACTTCGCAAAATAGAATAAAATTTGAACAAACTATTATATCAGACATAAAACAAACAAAGGTAAAGGTAAAGGTTTTCCCCTGACATTAAGTCCAGTCATGTCCGACTCTGGGGCGTGACGTTCATCTCCATTTCTAAGCCGAAGAGCCGGAGTTGTCCATAGACACCTCCAATGTCATGTAGCCGACATGACTGCATGGAGTCATTACCTTCCCGCCAGAACGGTACCTATTGATCTACTCCACATTTGCATATTTTTGAACTGCTAGATTGGCAGAAGCTGGAGCTGACAGCGGAAGCTCACTCCGCTCCCCGGATTCAAACCTGCGATCTTTTGATCATCAAGCTCAGCAGCTCAGCGGTTTAACCCACTGCACCACCGGGAGCTAAAACCAACATAAAACAAAAAAGCTCCAGCTCTGAAACTTCAATTGGCCCAAAAAGTGGCAGCCAGGTCATTAACTGGGGCTGGCTATAGGGAGCATCTGGATCTCCCATTGCAGGATATTATTCCTTGCTGTTTTTTAGTTTTACAGAGGCTCACTTTCGCTATGTCCCTAATACATGTGATTATGGAGGACAGACAGTACGAAAATAGTAATCAAAATAACTGAAAAGGTTTACGGCCTCATGATGGGTTTAGCAATATTGTGGCCATCTGGATGTCCGTCTCCTCGCTCAAGCTCACCCTCATTTCCCGTGGGCTGTACATCTGGGTTGCGGCCATACTGTCCCCATAGCCACCGGGCCCCATCGAGTGGCGCATTGATTCCACCTGGAGGCATGAGAAAAACAAAGAGAGTACAGTGTTATGAACAAGTGGCAGAATGAGCCAAGAGGTTTCATTATGTTGAGTTTCAGCTTCCACAAAGGCTAAGCAGGTAGGGCCAAATATCATTTTGCTTCAGATTGCAACTCAGACAGACACACACGGTCATGTACCGTTGGCCCTTCGGATTTCAGAGTTTCACTTCTGCAGATCTGACTATTTCATGGATTTGATAAAACTGTTGATCCCGACCTCAAAATGAGGTGGCTAGAAATAGGAGGTTGCAAAAATTGGCAATATAGTAACAACAACAACAACAACAACAACAACAGCAACAGCAACAATAATGGATTTAAAGATCGAATTGCAAAGACTCTGGCACAAACCAATAAAGGTGGTCTCAGAGATGATCGGCACACTGGGTGCAGTGCCTAAAGACCTTCGCCTGCACTTAAACACAATCAGCGCTGACAAAATTACCATCTGCCAGCTGCAAAAGGCCACCCTACTGGGATCTGCACACATTATTCGCTGATACATCACACAGTCCTAGACACTTGGGAAGTGTCCGATGTGTGATCCAATACAACCTAGACACTTGGGAAGTGTCCGACATGTGAGCCAATACAGCAAACAAGAGTGACCTTGTTTGTTGTGTACTAATCTTGTTGTATTCCAAGTAGTAGTAGTAGTAATAGTAGTAGTAGTAAATGCTTTATTTATAGCCCACCCTATCTTCTCAAAGGGATACAGGGCGGCTTTACAACAAAATAAAACATAATGGCAAATATCCAATGCTGAGGATAACATATAACAAATCATAAACAAGTTCAATAGAAATTATAAAAAGCAACTTAAATAAACAAGGCATAATACAATTCAAAGGTTTTTGAATGCCACCCAGTGGCTGTTTCACACATTTACATTGATCTGTTAGGAACAACAAGCAGTGTTGTCTAAGGCTTTCATGGCTGGAATTACGGGCTTGTAGTGAGGTTTTCAGGCTGTATTGCCATGTTCCAGTAGAACTCTCTCCTAACGTTTTGCCGGCATCTATGGCAGGCATCCTCAGAGGTTTGTTCAGAGGTCTGTTGGAAATGAGGCAGGTGGGGTGTATATATATCCGTGCAATGTCCAAGGTGAGAGAAAGAACTTGTGTCTGTTTGAAGCAAGTGTGAATGTTGCATCAAGCTGGCTAACTGACTTTGCAGCTGCAAGGCTACTCAATGTTAATCACGCTTGCTAATTGCAACATTCAGACTTGCTTCAAACAGACAAACGTTTTTTCTCCCACCCCGGGATAATCCATCTCCCAAAAAGGACTTGGGGTGCCTTAAAAGCAAGTATTTTCATTCACTGGACCAAATTGGCACAAATACCCGATACGCCCAAATCTGAATACTGGTGGGGTTGGAGAGGAGATGGTTTTTGTCATTTGGTAGTTGTAGTTGCTGGGATTTATAGTTCACCTACAATCAAAGAGCATTCTGAACACCACCAACAATGGAATTGAACCAAACTTGGTACACAGAACTCCCAGGACCAACAGAAAATACTGGAAGGGTTTGGTGGGCATTGATTTTGAGTTTTGGCATTGTAGTTCACCTACATCCGGAGAGCACTGTAGACTCAAACAATGATGGATCTCGACCAAACTTGGTACAGATACTCAATACGCCCAAATGTGAACACTGGTGGATTTTGTAGACTTTAACATTTGGGAGTTGTAATTGCTGGGATTTATAGTTCACCTATAATCAAAGAGCATTCTGAACTCCACCAACAATAGAATTGGGCCAAACTTTCCACACAGAACCTCCATGACCAACAGAAAATACTGTGTTCTCCGATGGTCTTCAGCAAACCTTGCGACACCCCCTCATGACCCCCCCAGGAGTTCAGACCCCCAGCTTGAGAAATGCTGCTTTAGAGGAAACTTTAGAGCCCTAAATGGTTCTGATCCAATTTACCTGTCCGAACGCATCTCCCCTTTTGAACCATCTAGGACCTTAAGATCATCTGGAGAGGCCCTGCTCTCGATCCCGCCTTCATCACGATTGATGGGTCCGAGCAACAGGGCCTTCTCAGTGGTGGCCCCTCCGCTATGGAACCCCTTCCTAGGGATATCAGATCGGCCCCCTCCCTTTTGACATTTCGGAGGAAAATTAAGACATGGTTGTTTGAGCAAGCATTTACAAATGTAGAGTAACTGACATAGGAAATGAAATGACTAGACGTTGGAATTGGACAAAGTTTTAACAAGGAGACGCTAATGATGTTGGTTTTTATTGTTTCTGTTGTGGTTTTATATTGTAATGTAATGTTTTTATTTGCATTTTGATATTACGTATATTAACTTGCTGCCTGTAAACCGCCTTGAGTCGCCGAAAGGCTGAGAAAGGTGGTATACAAATACAGTAAGTAAGTAAGTAAGTAAATTAATGAACTTTAGGTCCACTTTATGAAAGTTGACTATGGAGTCCCAATGGAAGCCATAGAGATTCCTAAGGGAACCCCTCTCTAGGAGTCACTAGGTCCTCAGATGTGATTCTACAGCCAATTTCCAGCAGAAACTGACCAGAGTCATGATGGAGAACCAAGAGATTCTTAGTGAAGTGTTCTCTCGCATAACAAAATATGCATTTTTTGACTTTCAAAGAGGTCCTGTGCCCCGGAGTGATCTTCCGACCAATTTGTGTAACTTGCTGTCGACCTTTGGAGCCCGAAAGACAGTTGAATCTGTCAAGTACAAAATTTAGGTACTGCTTATGCGGGGAGGCTAATTTACAATGCCATAAAAATCTCCAGCAAGCATGCAAAGAATGAGAAAAAACTTCACCAGTGACACAAATGGACGGTGAAGCAAACAGTTCCCCTGGTGGCCAGAATACCCTCATGAATAAGCTGGAATGCTAAATAGCCTTTGTGTGTCTATCTATATATGTTGTGTGTCTATGGCATTGAATGTTTGCCATGTATATGTACATTGTAATCCGCCCTGAGTCCCCTGCGGGATGAGAAGGGCAGAATATAAATACTATAAATAAATACATAAATACATAAATAAATAAATAAATAAATAAATAAATAAATAACAAGCCTTTTATGATCACAGACTTTCCTCCTGTTCTTTGATTGCCGGCTTCTTATGTTGCCGTAAAATACCTACCAGCTTAAGGGGTGTCTAATTTGTCTAGAATCACAGAATCATAGATTTGGAAGAGACCTCATGGGCCATCCAGTCCAACCCCCTGCCAAGGAGCAGGAGAAATATGATCAAAGCACCCTGATGGACATCCAGCCTCTGTTTAAAAGCCTCCATAGAAGGTGCCTCGACCACACTCTGAGGCAGAGAGTTCCACTGTTGAACAGCTCTCACAGTCAGAAAGTTCTTCCTAATTAATGTTCAGGTGGAATCTCCTTTCCTGTAGTTTGAAGCCACAACTCTACTCACAACTCATAGCTTGTTTTCAAATTGCTTAGTCAGACAATTAGCTAGACTCAAGTTTGGGTGCTCACCCCGACCCGGGCTCGAACTGCCAACTTTTGGTTGGGAAAGATCCACTGGTGCTGGTGATTAACTAGCTGTGCTGAAGCTCAGCACCTTCCTCTGAATATAGAATATATGGCATGAGTAACTGATGGAGCCTACAGTCCAAGGCGTTGTTTTTGAGGACTAAGCAAAGCTGTTCTCCAAGTTTGGCAAGTTTGAAGCTTTGGGGAAGGGCCACACCTGAGACTTCGATGACCTAGCAGGCTGAATTTAACCCACAAGTTCCCCATTCCTATCACAACAGCATTGTTTTGACTTAATCATAGAAGGAAACCAAAATACCTGTCCAACCTAGGCTGTGAAGAGAACTGACCTGTGATGTCGGGTAGGAGTCTCCATTCAGACCTTGCAGGCCCATGAACATGTCCCCTGAACTGGAGAGATTGAAGGAGCCGCCAGAGCCTACCGGAAAACAGAAGAAGAGATGGGAGGGAAGACAGTGGGAGGGTAAATGGGACGGCGGATGCAGCTGCCTCTAGCAAAGCAAAGGTTCATAATAAATAGCACTGCAAAGACTAGCTGGGGAGCAAGCGAAGAAAACCCAACGGAGGGAGGAGCCCTTGGCTACTCTGAGATCAGAAATGTTGGGACGTCAATGCTAGCACTGCTGGGGAAGACAAGAGAAGGGGCACCATATCTCCTAAATTCAATGGGGCAGCACTGTCTAGGGCGAAAAGGGACAAGAGTGCCGGCAGCGGATGGACCTCCAGCCCTTTCAGAGCAGGGAGGGGGGGACTTCAGTGTGTCTCCAATCCCGGCAAGGACTCCTGCACCAACATGGGGTGTGATGGAGTTTTTTTGGGGGAGGGGAGTTACCCGCGGAGGAGGGGGTGTTGGGGGAGTCGCCCCCACTCTGTGCGGCGCTGACAGCCGTTTTCACGGCGTAAATATTGGCTTCCTCTTGGAACTTGCCGATGTTCTTCTTATAGCGGATGCGCTTGTTCCCGAACCAGTTTGAGACCTGGAAGGAGGGAGGGGAAGGGAAGAATTGGGACAGGGAAGATCAGAATGGGGGGCAGGAGACGGGGAGGGGGGCGGGAAAGGGAAGCGGGGAAGGGGAAGGGGAGGAGGGGGATTATGTATTGACAGGTCAGCCAAACAAGAAGCCATTCCCCGCCACTGCCGCCAACCCCTCTGCCCCACATACGCTCCTCTGCCCCACGTCACACCCACAGGGCCCATCCAGCTTGGTCTCAGACCTGTGGCTGCCCACCAAATGCCCCGGTACCTGTGAGACTGTGATGCCGCATTTCTTGGCAAGCTCCTCCTTCGCCTCCTCGCTGGGATAGGGGTTGCTCAGGTGCGAGTAGAAATACTCATTGAGCACTTCGGTGGCCTGTTTGCTGAAATTGCGTCGCTTCCGTCTGCAGAGCAAAAGTGGGGGCAACAGAGAAGGGAGCCCAATTGGTATCCATTTCAAGGAAAATATTTTTTAAAACAGGGTGAAAAGGGAAATCTATAGGATTACAGAAAGAGGGAGAAAGTACAACCAGCACTTCAACATGACTCTGCTGGAAAGTGAACAGAGACTCACACTGGAGGACACTAGACAGTTCTCGTGAGATGTTCCCTCTAGACCAGGTATGGGCAAAACCAGGCCCAGATGTGGCCCCTTGGGCTCTCTCTCACCATCATCATATCCTTCCTTCCTTCTCTCTTTCCTTCCTCCCTCCCTTCCTTCTTCCCTTCTACCCTTTCACCCTTCCTTCCATCTTTCCTTCCTCCTTCCCTCTCTTTTTCTCCTTCCTTCCTTCCTTCCTTCCCTCCCTCCCTCCCTCCCATTTGTCTTTCCTCCCTCCTTCCATTCCCTTTCACCCTTTCTTCCTTCCTCCTTTCCTCCTGAAGGATGTTTAGCTGGGAGAAGAGAAGGTAGAGAGGGAACATGAGAATGAGGTTTCATGATTTTAAAGGGTGTCCCATTGAGGAGGAGGAGGAGGAGGAGGAGGAGGAGGAGGAGGAGGAGGAGGGGAGAACTGACTTTCTGCTGCTCTAGAGACCAGGGCACAAGGGAGCAACGGGTTCAAAGATATGACTGAAAAGATTAGGAAGAACTTCCTGAGGGTAAGTGCTGTTGGAGAGTGGCCTAGGGCGCCTCTGAGTGTGGTGGAGCCTCCTTCTCTGGAGGCTTTTCTGCAGAGGCTGTCTATTGGTTCAGGAAAGTCATGCTACCCATGCTCTATTCTTCACTTCACTTCACTTCACTTCACTTTATTTCTTAATTAGTCGCTCTCCACCAAGGCGCTCCAAGTGACTTACAATCTAAAATAGCATTTACACAATATAAAAAAAATTCAACACAAAAACATTCTGCCTTGGTTAGACCACACCTGGAAAATTATGTCCAATTCTGTGCACTGCAATTGAAGAGAGATATTGACAAGCTGGAATGTGTCTAGAGGAGGGCGACTAAAATGATCAAGGGTCTGGAGAGCAAGCCCTATGAGGAGCGGCTTAAAGAGCTGGGCATGTTTAGCCTGAAGAAGAGAAGGCTGAGAGGAGACATGATAACCATGTATATGTGAGAGGAAGTCACAGGGAGGAGGGAGCATCCTAGCCCTGGAGACTTGGATATAGAACAATGGTTCAAACTACAAGAAAGGAGACTCCATCTGAACATGAGGAAGAACTTTCTGACTGTGAGAGCCATTCAGCAGTGGAACTCTCTGCTTCAGAGTGTGGTGGAGGCTCCTTCTTTGGAAACTTTTAAACAGAGGCTGGATGGCTATCTGTCAGGGGTGATTTGAATACAATATTCCTGCTTCTTGGCAGGGGGTTGGACTGGATGGCCCATGAGGTCTCTTCCAATTCTATGTTTCTATGATTCTATTGGGAGTGCTATGATTGTGCTTTCTTGCATAATAGGGGGTTGGACTGGATGGCCCTTGGGGGTCTCTTCCAGCTCTAGGATTCTATATCAAGAGTAGGTAATATGAGGTCTCACGGATACACTTTTTCTCTCCCGTCCTCCATCTCATCCTGACCAAGACCAACCCTTTTGGGATCCAAACGTCTCCCATCACTTTCTGCCTCCGAAAGAGAAGAGGAAGGGGAGTAAAGGGCAGGGAGGGGGCTTGAGGAGAACCCCCTTCCTCCCAGCCTGCCCACCCTATTCCGGCGTGCCAAATTAGAAAGTTTGCCCATGCCTGCTCTAGACATTTCTAGGTCCTTCTCAATGAATAGAGGAAGCTGACTACAGAATGACACTGGAGACCCTAGAGAGAACATTTTAATCAGATCCGGAGTAATCGATACTGAATAATTGAAAACATTGATTATAAAAGCAGTAAGGTGAATAAAAGTGTCTTAAAGTCATTGGTAACTTACAGCAACCTACCATGGAGTTCTCATGGAAAATCCTTTGAAAGGGGGCTTAGGACTGCCATCTCCAAGACTAAGAGAGATGTATGACTTGCCCAAGGGCGTCCAATGGGTTTCAATCCAATCCAATATTGTCACTAGCACTTTAATGGTTGAATTGGGCTGTGGCTGGGATGTGGGACTATTCATTTTTATTGCAATTTGTACTGTGTTTTATTGATTTTTAAATTGGACTTCTTGCAATGTTTTTATCTTAACTGATATTGTCATTGTTTAATATGCATTGTATTTTATGTGTTATGGCACTTGTATGTGCTTCTGTAAGCAGCTCTGAAGCCTTCCGGGAGATGGTGGTGGAGTATAAATAAAGTTGTTGTTGTTGTTGTCTAGCATTTCTGTGTTCTCAACTAATATGCTGTGTCCAGGTCGGTTCATCAGGTGCTCTGCTATGGCTGACGTAGGTGGACCAGGTGGATCACTCTAGCAACCACCATGACAGACTACACAGAGAAGCCATTGAAATCCACAAGCATGTGGACAATTTCAACAGAAAAAAAGGAAACCATGAAAATGAACAAAATCTGGCTATCAGTATTCTAAAATCAGGACAGTAAATAAAGAGCAACACTCAAAAAACAGGAGAATTCCAGACAAGAATCCATCAGGACCAGCTATCCCCTCCCAACAAAGGATCCCCTAGGCAGCAATCAGCTAGGATTTGAAGCTACAAGGTCATTCAATGCTATTCAAGCTAGCCAACTGCAACATTCACGCTTACCTCATACAGACAGAGTTCTTTTCTCCCACCTGGACATATAAACCTCACTTGTCTAGTTTCCAGCAGACCTCAAAATCTCTGAGGATGCCTGCCATAGATGTGGGTGAAACATCAGGAGAGAGTGCTTCTTGTACATGGCCATACAGCCTGGAAAACTCACAACAATCTAGTGACTCTAATACACTGAATCTGTGAATTTACTAAACAGTGTATGGAGGTCAGAGGTGGCAGTTGTACTCTGCTGACCAGCTAGCTAACTAATAGACTCTATGTTTTTGATGTGAATGGACTCTGATATGTTTTGCTTGCCTCTGTGGCACTTGTTTGTCCAGTATGCAGGAGTTCCAGGGAGGTCATGATTGGAAAACTATAAGGCACTTCACGAACCTATCCCGTAACAACTTCTGCATATTTGCTGGTGTTAGGGGCACTGTCTTTAGGAAGAGGTCCTTCCTTTTTTGTTGGGAAAAGGCATTTGCTCCTATTAAGGAAGTGGAAGCACATTTTTGACTTGCTTAGCACCGCAATGAGAATAACAACCTGGCATCAAGGAAGCGGGAGCGGAGGATCATGACGGCTTCGCACGTGCTCTGCTTCAGTTGCATTTGGATAGAGCTGAATTTCCGGTGAATGATGCTGACCATGCGCTCAATCTCCTTTGGTGACACGGGTCGCGTGCGACTCTGTTCCCGAAGCAGGTTCATCACGTGTGTTGTAAACTCATTGCAGGCCTGAGGAGAAAAGGAGAAGTACAGGGTGAAACAAAATGATAGGAATTTGAAGTTGAAGCCACATTCTAAATCTATACCCACCCGTTAGGCTGCATCTATACTATAGGATGAATGCCAGAAATAGAGATTAATGGTGTAACATTGGAAAATATTGACCACTTCCTTTACTTTGGCAGCCACTTCTCCACAAAAGTCAACACTGACACTCAAATACAACACCACCTGAGCTCTGCGAGTGCAGCGTTTTTCTGAATGAAGCAGAGAGTGTTTTAGGACCGGGACATCTGTAGGGAGACCAAGGTGCTTGCTTACATAGTAACTGTCCTCCCAACCCTGCTATATGTCTGCAAAACGTGGACTGTCTACAGACGTCACACTCAACTCCTGGAATAATTCCAACAGCGTTGCCTCCAAAAAATCCTGCAAATCTCTTGGGAAGACAGGCGGACAAATGTCAACATGCTGAAAGAAGCAAAGACCACCAGCATTGAAGCGATGCTCCTATGCATTAACTCCGCTGCACTGGCCACGTTGTCCGAATGCCTGATCATTGTCTCCCAAAGCAGTTACTATTCCCCCAACTCAAGAATGGGGAACAGACAGGAAAGAGATTTAAATATGGGCTTAAACCTTAAAACTGTGGCATAGACACCAAGAACTGGGAAGCCCTGGCCCTTGAGCGCTCTAACTGGAGATCAGCTGTGACCAACAGTGTTGTGGAATTAGAAGAGGCACCAACATAGGGACCACTTTGACCAGGGTCCACTCTCCAACATTAGTACCAAAAGGGTTACAAATCAGTTTTTGGTCAACTTTAGATTCGGTTTGATTATTTGGGGTGCTGATTCAGAGAACTGCATTGGATAGACCACAGCAGCTCTAGTTTTTGATACAGAACATATGTCATCCAGGAGTCATCATCTGCTTGCCCCCAGAAAACCATATTTAATAAGCCTTGGCACTTCAAGAAGGTTTTGTAAGACCAGCCGCTCTCATTGCAATGGTGTAATAATGGTGAGGCCGTGGACTATATTGTAGTTCTTGCGAACTACTGGTGGTTCACGGACTATAGGTTGGGAACTAGTAACCTATAGGTTCCTTGAGAGAACATTTTAATCAAATCTGTGAATAATCAAATCCACAAAAGTTGAATCTGCCAATGTGGGGGAACAACTATACTTTGGAGAGATTCTGATGTTCATTTTCATGACTTTCATGCTGGGTCAATTAAAGGTTCATTCTCTGATGTCTTGGGAGAAATTCACATGCAAGACATGAAGAGAAATGGCTTTTAATTGTTTCTGAGCTTAATTAAATTCCTGGATTTGAGCTCTAAAGATGAATTTTTTGCACAGACCCGTGTTCTATGTGTTTCCTACGTGTTTTCTACAAGTTAACAGGTTCAAAACACAGCACATTCATTGTAGAAATCTCTAGTTAAGGATCTGTTTGTATGTGTTGAGTTTTAACATGGAATTATGAGCAACAAATTGAGAAGCTGAGAGTTGGAAGGGACAATCTGTACTGCTTTGTCAGGATGTTGACTTGTTACATTGTTTTCACTATATTAAACTGCTTTTAAAATGTATTTTGATTTTATTGGCTGTTACATAAGTATATCTTTTTAAGAGCGGTGGAAGGCTAGAAAAGGACCATATAAGTACTTCTTCTATATCAATTGATTCTGTATTCGTGGATTCAACTATCCCCGCCTTGAAATCTTTTGTTTTTTTTATTAAAAAAATCCAAAATGCACACCTCAATGTTATCATTATATAAAAGGGACCCCATTTTATGATGATTTTGTATGTAATGGAACTTGAGCATCCATGGATTTTGGTATCTATGGGGGTATCCTGGAACCAAACCCTCATGGATACCAAAGGCTCATTGTATAGATCCATGGTTGGGAACCACTGAACAACCTTGTGAAGTTCGTGAAGATCCCTGACATGGAAGAGGCAACAACAACTGGCATCTCCCCCTTTAAGATCAACCCTCCACATTTACTGGGACTAAGGACGCATGACAGTGAAAAACTTTGAATTAGTATTTTTTTTTTACCTAAAAGAATAACTCTCTAAGAAATTCCTGGTCTTCCAGCATGATTCTATGGTTAACCTCTGCTGGAAGCCAAAATGTAATGAGGGACCTATACCAGGCATGGGAAAACTTTCTAATTTGGGGGCGGCATGGCAGGCCAGGGCTGGGTGGGTGGGCCAGGTGGGAGGAGGTTCTCTCCAAGAACCTCCCTGCCCTTTCCTCCCCTTCCTCTTCTCTTTCAAAGACAGAAAGTGAAGGAAAGACAGGAAACATTTGGATCTCAAAAGGGTTGGCCTTGTTCAGGTGGATGGGATCTTGTTTTTTCTATGTTGTACACCGCTGTGAGTCGCCCCTGGGCTGAGAACAGCGGTATATAAGCAAAGTAAATAAATAAATAAATAAATAAATAAAAATGGGACAAAAAAGTGTATCCATTAGGCCTCATATTGCCTACTCCTGATATAGAACCCTAGAATCCTAGAACTGGAAGTGACCCAAAGGGCCATCCAATCCAGCCTTTGCCATGCAAGAAGGCACAATCAAAGCACTCCCGATTGACAGCCTCTGCGGAAAAGCCTCCACAGAAGGAGGCTTCACCACACTTTGAGACAGCCTAGACCACTCTCCAACTGCTTACCCTCAGGAAGTTCTTCCTAATCTTTTCAGTTAAATCTCTTTCCCTGCCATTTGAACCCACTGCTCCCTTGTGCCCTGGTCTCTAGAGCAGCAGAAAGTTTTCCCCCTCGTCCTCCTCAATGGGACACCCTTTGAAATCTCAAAACATAGGTCTCACGTTCCTTCTCAACTATCACTTCTCCCAGTTAAACATCCCCAGGAGGAAAGGAGGAAGGAAAAAGTGTATGAAGGAAAGGAGGAAGAGATGGATGGATGGGTGAAAAGGAGGGAAGGGAGGGAAGAAAGAGAGACGAAAGGAAAGACAAAAGGGAAGGAAAGAGAAAGAGCGAGAGAGGGGAGGTGGGAGGAAAGAGGGAAGAAAGGAAGGACAAAAGGATAGAAGGGAAGGAAGGAGGAAGAAACAGGGAGTGAGGGAAAAAAAGGGTGGAAGGGAGGGACTGAGGAAAGAGAAGGAAATGCAAAAAGGGAAAGAAGGAGAAAAGGAGACAGGGAATGAGGGAATGAGGGAGGAAAGAGAGAAGAAAGGATGGACAAAAGGGTGGAAGGGAAAGAAAGGGAGAGAGAAAGAGGGAGGTGAAGCAGGAAGGGAAGGAGGGAAGGAAAGAGAGGGGAAAGGGAAGATAAGATGGTGAGAGGAGGGCCTGAGAAAAGAGCCCAAGGGGCCGCATCCGGCCTAGATTTCCCATACGTGATCTAGAGAGTCCAAAATAGGTATTTTGTCAAGGAATCCTCCAGCATTATTGCAAAACATCTGACTATCATCAAACTGGAGGATCTAGATATTCCTAAAGAGAACATTTCTAATTCAAATCCATTAATAACACAACCTGCGAAAGTCAAAATCACAAATGCGGAGGGCCAACTGTGCAACTCTCGAAATCCTGTAATCAAATGGCTAAGGGTTTCTGGAACTGGTGATTCCAAAAAGTTATTTTTATAAACCTTGGCTTTACATCTTCAAATCAAATAGTGGACAGTAAGAAGGTATTTAATCTAACTGGATCCCTTATTTAAAACAGACAAAACAACACCTGGGGTTGTGAAAATGACAAAACTGCCTCCTCACCTGCTCGTACTTCTCCAACTCTGAGTGGTAGATCTGGCGGATCTGCGAGAGCTTGTTCCGGTAATCGGAGTGCTCAATGGAGTTATCAGGGGACACTCCTCCTGCTGCTGCTGCAGCTGCTGCAGCTGCTGCGGAGCCCCCACCTTTCTCAGGCCCGGCCACCCCCTCGGCGAGCAGCATATTGTCCAGGCGCATCAGCTGGGGATCCACAGGCTCCTCCTCCTGGGAACTTCGGATGCTTAGTCCTGGAATGGAGACAAGGGAGAGGAAGGGGTGAAAAGAGTGGACGATGGTTATCCAGAGATGCAGGGGCACACTGTTACAGTAAGTTGTAGCAGGACCAAGTATGTGTGTGTGTTGAAGAAAAACCTTATGATGGTAATTATTATGTGCAGCTGGTAATGTAGGTCAACCAGCAATCTTGGGCCACACCTGATAAGAGTATAATTGTATGGGTTTTTAGAATACAGTTCTGGAGAGCTTTTTCTCTGAGAACTATGCTGAAAGACTCTTCTCTGAGGAGAAGATTGAAGAGAAACCTATCTCTAAAGGAGGCTATGGTGGAATAGCTATTTTCTCAAGGTTTATGTTTTGCTTTCTCATTTGACTTAAGATGAAGATGCCTTACTTTGTGTTACTTACAATGACTATGTAAGTTTCTTGCACTGTTTGATTTTTGTATGCAACATTGCAAGTTTGTGTTTCATCTCTGCTATTAAGAGTAACAGATTTTTCTGCTCAATTATTATTATTATTATTATTATTATTATTACTTTATTTGTACCCCGCTAGCATCTCCCAAGGGATTCGATGCGGCTTACAACAGGCCGGAGCCCAACACAATACAACAATACAATACATAGCAAATAAAACAGTTAAAGCAAAAAAACAATAACAGTAGCAGTACAACAGGACATTATTAAAAACTGAGCCGGCCAGGAGTAGGGTACAGGATTAAAAGTGCTGAAGTGTCGGAGGGATATGGGATTAAAATGTAAGTGCAGTGTGCGGTGAGGGTGATCTTAACTCTACTAAAGTGCTTCTGGGCTTTGGTAGTGGGGTTCCTAATCTGAGAAGGCACGTTGGAACAGCCAGGTTTTCAGGTTCTTTCTGAAAACCGCCAAGGTAGGGGCCTGTCTGAGATCTTTCGGGAGGGCATTCCAGAGGCGGGGAGCCACCACAGAAAAGGCCCTGTCCCGTGTCCCCACCAAACACGCCTGCGACGCGGGCGGGTTCACGAGCAGGGCCTCTCCTGATGACCGGAGTGAGCGTGTGGGTTCATAGACTGTGATGCGGTCTCGCAGGTAGGGTGGTCCCAAACCGTTCAGGGCTTTTTAGGTAAGCACCTGCACCTTAAATTGGGCTCGGAAAATAAACAGCAGCCAGTGGAGCTCCTTAAACAGAAGGGTTGACCTCTCTCTGTAATGGGCCCCCGTTAGCATCCGGCTGCTGCCCGTTGGACCAATTGGAATTTCCGAGCCGTTTTCAAGGGCAGCCCCACGTACAGCACATTGCAGTAATCCAGTCTAGAGGTGACTAAGGCATGGACCACCCCGGCCAGATCAGCCTTCGCGAGGTACGGGCACAGCTGGCGCACAAGTCTCAGTTGTGCAAAAGCCCTCCCGGCCACCGCCGACGCCTGAGCCTCAAGCATGAGCGATGAGTCCAGGAGGACTCCCAAGCTGCGGACCTGTGGCTTCAGGGGGAGTGTAACCCCGTCCAACACAGGTTGCCACCCTATACCCCGGTCTGGTTTGCGATCATTTCTACTCTTGTCTCTGTGTTTTGTGCATGGGACGTGGCTAAGATCTGCTTACTGCGCAACACACACGACCTCTCCCAGGTAATGATCTCTTTCCCTTCAAGACCATGTCCTCCTCCTCCTCCTCCTCCTCCCCTTCCTTCCTTCCTTCCTTCCTTCCTTCCTTCCTTCCTTCCTTCCTTCCTTCCTTCCTTCCTTCCTTCTGTTCTCTCCATCCTCCCTCCCTTCCTCAGTGAAGAACCTCAACCAATGGCTGATACCAAATGAGAAACTTCCCCCTGGGCACACAGAGGACTGGGCGACTTGGAAGGCGCTGAACAGACTGCGCTCTGGCACCACGAGATGCAGAGCCAACCTTCAGAAATGGGGCTACAAAGTGGAATCCTCGACATGCGAGTGCGGAGAGGAGCAAACCACTGACCACCTGCTGCAATGCACCCTGAGCCCTGCCACATGCACCATGGAGGACCTTCTTGCAGCAACACCAGAGGCACTCCAAGTGGCCAGATACTGGTCAAAGGACATTTAATCAACTACCAAACTCACACATTTTGTATTTTCTCTGTTTGTTTGCTTTGTTCTGTTAGAAATGTAATATAACTGACTGGCTGCCCTGACACGAGAAATAAAATAAATATCCTCAGTGAAAAGGGTTAACAAAATGCACAGTGGTCTTCCACGGCTGCAGTGGTCTGTCTGTCTGTCTGTCTTTCTTTCTTTCCTTTTCTTGGTGTTCTTCCTATTTCCTCTCTCTTCTCTTCTCCTCTCCCATCCCTTTGGGTGCCTCCTTCCATGGGGTTGACCTGTTCCCCTCCCTGGTCCACTCCTTTCTCCTGAATTCCCTCCTTTCCCTCCTTCCTCCATTGATGAAAGAGTTAACAGAGTGGGTGGTGGTCTTCTAGAATGCAGGAGCACACAGCATCCCCCAGTGTTTCCATCTCCAGCCCCATTCTTCCTACACCAGTGGTTCTCAACCTTCCCAGTGCCGTGACACTTTAATACAGTTCCTCATGTTGTGGTGACCTCCAACCATAACATTATTTTCATTGCTACTTCATAACTGTAATTTTGCTACTCTTTTGAATTATAATTTGAATATCTGATATGCAGGATGTATTTTCATTCACTGGACCAAATTTGGCACAAATACCCGATACGCCCAAATTTGAATACTGGTGGGGTTGCCGCAGGGATTGATTTTGTCATTTGGGAGTTGTAGTTTGCTGGAATTTATAAATAGCCTACAGTCAAAGAGCATTCTGAACTCCACCAATGATGGAACTGAACCAAACTTGGCACACAGAACTCCCATGACCAGCAGAAAATACTGGGAGGGTCTGGTAAGCATTGACCTTGAGTTTTGGAGTTGTAGTTCACCTACATCCAGTGAGCACTGTGGACTCAAACAATGATGGACCAAACTTGGCACGAATCCTCAATATGCCCAAATATGAACACTGGTGTAGTTTGGGGAAAATAGACCTTGATATTTGGGAGTTGTAGTTGCTGGGGTTTATAGTTCACCTACAGTCAAAGAGCATTCTGAACCCCACCAATGATAGAATTGGGCCAAACTTCCCACACAGAACCCCCACGACCAATAGAAAATATTGTTTTTTCTGATGGTCTTTGACGACCCTTTTGACACCTTCTCACTAACTCTCACTAATTGGACCAACAGAAAATACTGTTTTCTGATGGTATTTGGCAACCGCTCTAACACCCCCGCCCCGCCCCCTGCCCCCCCCCCCCCCCCAAGGATCCTAACTCCCAAGTTGAGAAATGCTATCCTACACTTTCCTTCCCTTCCTCCGTCAGGGAAGGAAATAAGTGGTAGTCTTCCAAGGATGCATAGTCACACAACCCTTCCCTGATGATGGCCTGTCCCCCCGCCGCACCCTGAACCCCTTCCTCCCTGTTATTCCTCCCTTTTTTCCATCCTTTCCTTCCTCCCAATGGAGGGAGTCACAGAGTGAGTGTGATCTTTTGGGGGTGCAGGGAGACCCAACACATCCATGGGAATGACTTGTTTCCCTCCCCAACCCTTTACTACTCCTTTCTTCCCTTTTTCTTCCCTTTTTTGGTGAAGGGGTTAACAGTGTCATTTTTTTCCTTTTCTTGGTGGACTTTCTAACCATCCTCATAGAATCATATAATCCTTGAGTTGGAAGAGACCTTGTGGGCCATCCAGTCCAACCCCTGCCTAGAAGCAGGAAAACTGCATTCAAAGCACTCCCGACAGATGGCCATCCAGCCTCTGTTTAAAAGCCTCAAAAGAAGGAACCTCCACTACACTCCAGAGCAGAGAGTTCCACTGCTGAACAGCTCTCATAGTTCTTCCTGGGTCAGATCCAGAACACATACACATATACACACATATATAATGTATTTACTATCTTTGTATACCACCCTTCTCACCCCAAAAGGGACTCAGAGTGGTCTCACAGATAGGCAGCAATTCGATGCCATAAAAACATACATATAACAAAATAACATATACATTAAAACAAGAATTTAAAACATACCAACTATTAAAAACCACACAGTCCAAACCGGCAATCCAAGGCCGTTCCAGTCATTGTTGCACTAATCTGTATTGACTTCTCGCACTAGAAGATTATTATCCAAAGACTTGGTCCCATGATCATGTTTTTACTTTCATAGAATCATAGATTTGGAAGAGACCTCATGGGCCCTCCAGTCCAACCCCTTGCCAAGAAAGAGGAAAATTGCATTTAAAGCACCCCCAGCAGATGGTCATCCAGCCTTTGTTTCAAAGCCTCCAAAGAAGGAGCCTCCACCACACTCTGGGGCAGAGAGTTCCACTGCTTAACAGCTCTAACAGTCAGGAAGTCCTTCCTAATGTTCAGATGGAATCTCCTTTCTTGTAGTTTGAAGCCATTGTTCCGCGTCCTAGTCTCCAAGGAAGCAGAAAACAAGCTTGCTCCCTCCTCCCTATGACTTCCTCTCACATATTTATACATGGCTATCATGTCTCCTTGATGAGGGAGTTAACAGAATGGGTGGTGGTCCTCCAAGAGGCCTCCAGAATCTCTCTCCCTTCCTCTCCTCCTCCGCTCTTTCTTTCCTTCCTTCCTTCTTTCTTTCTTTGGTGGGCTTCTTATCCACACACTCCCCCCTTCCTTTCCCTCCTTCCTTCCTTCCTTCCCTCTCTCCCATCCCTTTGGGTGCCTCCTTCCTCTCTGGATGCTTGGCAGGAGACTAGGTCACCACTGGGTCGTTGCCATGGGGACCGCAGGCCCCGAAAAGGGGATGCCATTTTTGGCAGGCGAGAGAGATATGGGGAGGAGGGGGGGAGTGGTGGTGTTTGCACAGGAAGGGAAGAAATGCAAAGGGAAGAGGAGAAGAAAGGCCTGCGAGGCCCAAGGGAAACAGAGCCAAAAAGAAAACTTAGATGCACATGGCGTTTTTTGCCCCCCTTTTGCCTCGAAGTCCTTTTGGAAGAAGAATGGAAAGTGGTCC